AATGTAGATTATATAATTAAAGGGTAAGGACTAAGGAGTGGCCAAATTAAACCATGTAAATATGATGAAATTTCATTATTAGGTATAGGTTGGATTATAATTATTATATTAGTAGCTATATTTTGTCTAATTATAATTTATAGGGACTGTTTTTGAGTTGTATTTGTTGTTTAAATTCGTTGAATTTGTTCTATTGTTTTCGTTCGATCTGATCGATCAATTTTGATATATTTGTTTGCTTAATTTAGTATCTATATGTATCGACACTTTCTCAATGTTGTTGGATACATTAATTTAGGGCTTGTCACTTTGTATTATTGCATTTTTAATTATTATTTTTGAATATGTACACCATGTATGTATATTGTATCGTCATAAATTTAGATTTTGATCCTAGATATAAGCTAGATAAACTTCAAATACAATTTAATTACAATTTTGAAAATCACTAGACTTTTAGAAACAATTATAACTTCGAAAATAACTAAATTCTTAGATATAACTCAAAATTACCAATGTAAAATCGTAGAAAATATATTTATGTTTACCCATAAAGAAGATTTAGAGAAAATAAATGTAGTGTGGATTCACCTAATGACGTTTCATCAATGATATTTAACCTGAAACAATATTCATTCCTTACTCAAATAGAAAAGTGACAGTATCAATCTAGCATGTGATTTTGAACAAGAATTTCTTGTGGACTCATGAAATTTTGTTTTGATGATATGAAATGCTTCTTTCTTTGTTTGCAGTACCTCAAGTCGAGTTTTTGTTGTAGCATTGAATGAGATGACGAGAGCTGAAATCAAATTTTTTTGCTATGCTCCACAAATGTTTGTACGATTCTTATGAATTTTAAGTGTGTTTGAATTCCACATCTTGTTAAATATTTATTGAGGGATTGTCTACCTTCTCAAGCCTCTCTATCATGCCCTTGGAAAGTGTAGTGGATGACTTGCATTATTAAATGATTTTTTTTCAAATTAAATGATAGTTGTTCCCTGTCCTTTTTTTGGTATTAATTAATGAAGGTAGGTCCTGTATGATACATTTGTGGGTTACATAGAAAATTAAGATTGAGAAATCTTGAAAGAGGGGAAGAGTCTATAGAAAAAAAAAACATTATACATAAACGTATTTAGCCTCATTTGATATATATGTCTTTCAATTTTGGGTGTGTATTAGTAGCCACTTAAACTTATATAGAATCGAACAAGTAGACATACACATTCTACTTGATCCCTTATGTGACAATTTGTATCCTACACGGTATCCTACATGATGTCCTACATATATTATGACAAGTAGAATGTGAGTATCTACTTGTTCAACTTTATACAAATTTAAGTGTCTATTTGTACACATCAAAAATTGAAAGACATATATATCTTGAGATCAAATTAAAAAACATATTTATATATTAGCCATAGATGAAAGAGGAAAAGGGCGAAGGGAAATTGCCAACAAGGGAAGTGAAAGAGAAAATGAAGATAGGATTTTAGAATTACATTTTAGTTATTGTTGTAAAATTTAAAGTATAGCTATGTTTGTTGGGGGATGAAATTATTAGGGACTTTTGAGACTTTTATTTATTTTAGATGAAAATTCTAGATGAAAGGAAGGGGGGAAATGTAGAAGAAAAAGAATTTTTGTTGCCCGTACATATTATACACGATTATATATGCCCATTTTGTTGAATAATATTTATACAATATTGATATAGATGCCCATTTTATTGAAAATAATTTTTATTACCTGTACATATTAGTAAGTAACCCCTCTTTTTTTGTGGTATAGTGGAAAAGACTAATAAGTAATACTTCTTAAATCTAACAGGCGTAAAAATTTCATTTCTTTGACTGCATTTTCCATACCAGCAAATCTTATTCATGTCTGCGACCTTTAATGATTAATCACAGTCACTACAAAAAAAACAGGGTTATTGCGACGGTTATTTATACGTAATGCGGCGGTTTCAAATCGTCACAATGTACTAAAACGGCGTTTTGTGAAAATGTTGTAATCCCACCTATCACAAACGTATTATGGCAGTTGTTACGAAACCGTCGTAATATTTACACAAAACCGCCGTTATACATATATAAAACCATCGCAATATTCCTTTTAAAATGCGACAATTTTTTTTTGGATAAAGCGATTGTTTACACCCGTCGTAATTGTGTCATTCATATATAACGGTTAACATATGTCGTAATGTTCAATTCTGACGCCGTAATAATTATATTTTCTAATTTTGTCAATCCATACTTAATATCCTATTTATTGCACCCTATATATTTAAATTTCTACAGTTAGTAATTTTAAAACAACATAAAAGATCAAATGAGCAAAATATTCATCACATTAAACAAAAGTACTCCAGAATTACATCATCAAAATACTACTACTGTTTTGAAGTGTTAATCAAAGCTCCAAAATTACATCATCAAAATAGTAATTTCAAGTGTCATTCAACTAGAATATCCGAAAAAAAAGATCCTAAAAATGATTCCTAGTTGATGCTTAGTCCATCATCCAAAGATTTCTAATCGATGGTTGGTCCAATGGGTGACTAATGAGCCCCACTTTCTGTATCGGATGCCTGGAATTTTTTTTTATTAATTAACAAGCAAATTGATGATCATACTCCAAAAATATATGTATTCGCACAGAAATATCAATGAACTTGGAAAACATTTCTGGAAAAAATTTCTCTTGTAATAAGTACACTTCTCACCTACATACCGAAAAGATTTTCAAATACCATTTTTGTAATCACCAATTATTCCAGAAAGAAATTTCCAAAAACTTTCTTTAAAATTGAATTCTTTTAAGTCAATATTAACATAAGAGTACATATAAAACATAAGTTACTTGGTTCTATTCATCGGTCAAGTAACTAATTATCATGGCAGCCTAGACACGACTATTTACCGGTGAGTAAGGAAGGAATGCCACCATGGCTGGAAAGTGGAAACCATGATAGCATACAACTACTATGCCTCAATACAAATTATTGCTAGAAACTGCCCATCAAAATGCTGCGTAATTCATATTCTCAACGAATTATTCTCAGTTGAGTAATCAACTAGGCTCAGATATGTCACAAAATCGGGTAATGAACCATAGCTGCAAACCAGAATAGAATACAACATCAACAACAACAATCTATAGTTGGATAAACTAAATGAATCCTTAACATCCCTTCCACTCAATTAGGACCTATTTCGTCCCAATACTCGTCACACCACTTACAACACAATTTAGTTTTCCCTACCAAGATTCGGTTCGGGCTGACCAAAATCCAATTAACTCAATAAGCTCTATATCATCACAGCCTACAGATAAGCATAAGCAATGCTGCTTACTGCCAACAAAGTTAATATTGACTTTAAAAAATTATCTAAACCTCAAAAAGAGGCACTGCAAAGCAAATTGGACTTTATTAAGAGTACACTACAAAACATAAATAAATTCCTAGCAAAATAAAAATAATCATAGCCCAAACAGAACTTAAAGAGTACATAAAGATAGAGTTAGACTCTTAGATATATTCTTAAGAAAGAGTACATATAAAACATAGATATTTATGATGGTCATACCTGTGGAGGAGGTGGAAATAAGTGAGGGGACATTCCCTATGTTCTTTTGATATAAGCTAAGTAGCGCATTCAATTGTGATTTCATACTCGTCATCTATTGCTGCTACTTTGGAGGTGGAGCGCTAGCGCTAGATGAACTCACATCAACATGCTTAAATCTCCTAGATGTCTGTTTGAATGCCATAATTGGAACAACACCCAAGCCTAACCCTCGAACACGGCTCAGGTGTTCGGGACCGAGTACTATACCAAGTACATTATTTGGTGAAACTTCGACAATACTTTCTGGCCTTTGACGACAAATTTCTTCAATTTTCTCCTGTGCAAAAGAAAAACAAGCACAATACTGTTGTCATATACCAGTTGACGACTCTATGAACCACAAATTCATTGAATGATGTATCACTGATTTTATCTAAGCTGTCAGGAATTAAGACACTTAATATCTCACATATGCTGATATCTTTATCCTCTCTAGAATCTACTCGTGTTGCGATCTATGGCATCTGTAGGCTTTTAAAAATATTTGGAAATAAGCAATCAAGTAGCATATTTACAAGGATAAGGAAAAGTTAGAAAATTAACAATTAAAATTGACATGTGTGAAGTGTGATCACTTAACTTAAATGGATCTTCTAGTTTTGCTAATTAGGAGCAATTAACTGAAATCTGAAATAACATAGAGTATATATTATCATAGAACTGTACATGCAAAGCTAGATTCAGATTACTACTATTATATTACATTTATAGCTAGATGCAAAGCTAGTGATTCCGCGTAACTAGTTGTTGGTTATGGATTTTCACAACCATAACCAACAACCTGTAGGAGTGTGCAATGAGGACTAGCTCCAAGAAACTGAATTAAACTAGTAGTGTCCTTCATTCACGAAAGTTTTAATGAACAGAGAAATTGTCCTGTGAAGTGAAAGTAGAGATAAGTGTGTCATCTATTCATAAACTAGTAGATTACGAAGTGCCTATAAATTGTAAATGAAAATTTACCTCACATTATTGCTTGCCGCTCATGGGATTTGGCTTGAATCACCACAGCAACGTTTCTAGCATGACATTGGAACTAGTAACCTATAAGGAAAAAAACATAAAATTCATGATTAAAACATATCAAGATATACCATACTCGAAGAATTAGAAGAAGAACAATTCGGTTCAAGTGGACAAGCAAAATGCTGAAAGCATAGCACATATGCAATTGATTGATAAATTTTGCATTTTTTAATGTCAAAATAATTGCAAGAAAAAGTATTATATTACATACAGAACTTCTTTGCAGGAACTCGTGCAAAATAATGTTTAAAAAATTTACTCAGAAAGTGAAAGAGAAATAGAGACTTACTTAAGTTCTGAACTATTGTCCCACCTAGGTCAATTATGGGAATATGGGAAATGTTGGACCACTGGGAGTTCGAGCCACTCCGATTGGTGCAACTTTCTTCTAACTGTGGGCAGACACTAATTCGCAGGTTCCATAATTTAGTGAGGAGTTGCATGGCATCTCTGGATGGCAGATGCTCCATTTTTCACAGTTACATAAACTTATCTCTTCCAAAGAAACAAGGTTGCCGAGCCCATCCGACAGAGCTTCTAACAATGGACAATCACGGATCTCCAGATACCGTAACTTGGGCATGGCATCTGAGAAGTCCACATGTTGTAGCCGTTTGCATCTCACCAGATCTAATGTTACAAGAGAAGTAAGGTTGCCAAGTCTATGAGGAAGAGCCTCGATTCCGAAATCATTTATTCCGATCTCCGTTAGGGCAGAGAGTTGCATAAGCTGATCGGGCAGAGAATCCCAATCCGTACGTCCGTATACCTCCAATGTACGAAGGGAAGATAGCTGCTGAATGCCATTAAAAATCAATTGGAATGCCTCAAAATTCACCGTCTCTGAGAAAGGACCAATTTCCAAATGCTGTAACCCAGTGAGGTGGTGAAGTCCCCCTGCGGGTACACTAACCAATTTGGGACATTCTGATAAACACAAATACGAAAGTGAAGGCATTTCCCACACATGTAAAGGCAAGGAAACCAAGTTGTTACAGTAACTGACCGTCAAAATCTCTAGAGACCGGCATTGCTCTAGCATTCCACTTGGTAAACTGGTCAATCCATTACAATTGGATAACTCAAGACTTTGGAGGGAAGTCAAATAGCTCTCTCCACTGGGAACAGGAAAAGAACTGAAATTGGTGCAGCTGGTAATTTCTAAGCTCTTAAGAGAACGGAGATTGTATAAGCTTTGTGGCAATTCACGAAACTCTCCGCAGAGTGAGACCAATAGGTGTTGAAGAGAAACATTGTTGCGTAGCATCTCATCGGGAAGAAAAATGAGCTCTTTCACGTTACTAACAACAAGATTCACAAGAGATGTCAAGTTGCTGCACAAGTTCAACAATGGCATTTCACTGTCAACTCCAACAATCTCTAATTCACATAGGATTTCAAATTGATTCGGAGTACTTTCTAACAGGGGACAGTTACTAATCCTCAACTTCTCAAGCCTAGGAAACATTCTTACTCCAACTTCAACTCCCTTCCACTCAATAAGGCTAGCCATATTCTTCAATACTAGTTCTTTCAATGACAGGAACGCTTGGATATTGCCATTATTGCTGCTTGATCCATTATCAATTATCTCAACACCATAAAATGTAGGTCCGATGCATTCCAATTCAAGGAATCCTACCAGCTCAAGATGCTGAAGGAACTTCAGTTGGCCAAGTGATGGAATTTCTTTGCACCTTTTGCAACCACTTAATTTCAACATGACCAAATTTGGTAGCAATTCTTCACTGAACCATGAAGGAAATTTAGTCCCTAAATAGTCCACAACTGCTAAGGTTTTCAAGTTCGGATGTGGTTGAAGACCATCCAACACATGCTCATGATTGATCTCACAGCCTTCTGATTCATCACGGGACCATGAATACACCAGCTTGTAGATATTTGGTTTCTCCTGTAAATATGTTGTTCGAGCCTCTTCTTTATTTCCGACTAATTGAAGACGTTCGATCGTCAATTCACCTCTAAGTTTTTTCAAACAACCTAGTTCTTCTATTCGACGACCTTTCTTTAAACCTACATAGAAAAACTGTAGCGTCTGAAGACTAGTCAATTGCCCCATATTAAGTGGCATCTGAAACCGATCCTTACCTGTACATGATTGGTAATGATACTTGCAATATATGTGTCTCAAACTTATCATATTTGCCATTTCTACTGGAAGCTTCCTGAGTGAAAAACAGTTATTGGCTCTAAAAGTTTGCAAATTGTAGAGCTTGCAAATGGAGCTGGGTAAGGCTCTGATCTTATTGTAGGAGAGATCAAGATATCTTAAGTATATTAGCTTGCTGATTGAGGCTGACAACTCCTTGATGTCTGACCTGGACAAATTTAAAACTCTCAAGAACTGAAAGCTCAACAACATATCTTCAGATAGATTTCTTTTCCAGAACAATGTGCACAAACGTCCTGGCTCATTTATCCTCTCTATTTGATCACTTGGTGAGTCCCATCCAAAGTATCGGACTTGAGAAAGATTTTCTCCTCCAACTCTCTTTGGATCAAATAATTTAGATTTCAATATATCTCTGGCCAAATCATGCACAAGATCATGCATCTTACAGTGTGTTATATTGTTGTGCTCATCTAGCTTGACATCTTGCAGCAAGGAATTTCGCAACAAGAGTTGGAAAAACTTGTTCCCGGCGTCTTCCATCACAGTGGTCTCTTGACATGGACGAAGAAACCCTTCTGCCATCCAGAGTTGGATTAGTTGGTCCTTCTCAAACTCAAAATCTTTTGGAAACATTGCAAAGTAACTAAAACATTTCTTCAGATGTGGAGATGGTAGATAATCATAGCTGAGTTTTAGGATTTTCTTTATAGATTTTCTTTAAGCTATTTTCCCCGTTATCAGCTTCACCAGTAACAAGGGGGTTGCCATCAAGAATTGCTTGCCATTCATGTATTTCCTTATATCGTAAGAGGCCTCCCAACACACTTGCAGCCAATGGTAGACCTTGACACAATTCAACAATCCTGTTTTCCATGCTCACCATTTCTTCTGGAACCTCCCCATCAACAAATGCTCTTTGTTTGAAAATGCACCAACAATGATCTCTCGCTAATCTTTCCAACATATGATGATCTAATGCTACTGTGGATGCCACTCGTTTCATACGTGTAGTCACAAGAATGCAGTTTCCTCTTGACGTGTTTATTCCCTTCAAAGTGTCCATGAACTCATGCCACAATGTAGGGTCAACACGCCACAAATCATCTAAGACAAGCAAATACCTTTTTCCTCCCAATTCATCTCGAAGCTTCTTGACTATTATATCCCTGCTTTGGACCTCAAGTTTCCTCTCTGTCAATGATTCGAGGATTAGTTCAAGAAAGCTCTTCGTTTCTGACATTTCAGCTAGACACAACCAAACCCTCTTTTCAAAGTTTTGCTTGATTTGTTCATCATTGAAAATTCTCTTAGCCACAGTTGTTTTACCTAAACCCCCCATACCAACTAGAGGAATGGTGGACATAATAACTTCCTCTCTCATGTTCAACATCTTCTCCTTAATTTCAGCAACATCGTTGTCTCTACCAACAACATCTGAAGCAACTACGAAGGAATCTGTTTCTCGAATTGGTAGTATTTGCTGAGAAGGAACCATCGGTGATTGGAGACCGAGGTCGTTGGCTAACTGATTGATAGCCCTCATCTCTTTCGTGATATTGTTGATTTTTCGAGACATTTTGTACTTAAAAGCAGTATGAGAATAAAAGTTACGGACCTTTTCCATTAGTTTGGTTCGAATGTTCATCACATGTGCTTTGAGAGATTCATATCTGTATACGTCAAACACGTTTTCAGCATCCTCAGCAACTCTCTCAAGCATCTTGAGCCATTCTTCCGCAGCCTGATCGTCAACTTGTCGTCTTTCAGCATCATGAATGAAAGCTTGGATCATGGATACATATTTTGTCAGCATTCTGAGATTTTTCTTGCAGTTCCTTAAACTTTTAGCCTCCTCAAAAGTGAGAGAAAGCAGCTTCTCAAGCACAACTTGAACTGTAGCACCAATTACAGGATCGGCCATTGTTGTGATGCTCCTTCACAAAGTCTTCTTCTTCTTCTTCTACACCAAAGTCTTCTCAAAGTTCTTGCAGAAATCTTCTTTTGCTAGTTGTTTGGCCACCACTAAAAGAAAGAGAACAATTCATACACAATAATTTGAATAAAGAATAGCTTTTGTGGATTAACAACTAATCATTCTTTAAATAAATATTTTTTGGGTGGTGGTTGTGTTTTTTTTTTTTTTTCTAATGAATGGCAGCCCCTTTCCAATTAGTAGTTGACATATATTGGGCAGTTAGAACCGTTTAGCTATTTAATCTATTCCCATTCCTATTACTAACACTCCGAATAGAATTATAGTATGAGGGTTAATCTCAAAGAGTTAAACTGATTACCTCCTAATCTATATTGTTGCATATTTTAACTCTTTGAGACCTATTATGCATTAACATAGTGAAGTTGTTTGTTGAAAAAAATGCAGTTTAGAACCAACAAAGGAAAACATTACCAAATTACTAAAAAGTTCAGCAAACTTTCCATTATGATTTTGAATAATGCTTAAGAAATTAAGTTCCTCAGTCCTCGTAGATATCACGAGTTTCCATTCCAAACAACAAGACCAGTTCCACAATTCTGTTTTCAGGCACATAACAAATGACAGCTCGCTGAATCTTTGTTCATGTAATATGCAGGTGCTAGTGTGGAAACAATAATTTACCCCAAGAGGAATAAAACCATCAAAGGAAAAGGGAAATAGGTAAAGAAAGATTTTATGTACTTCACAAAAACGGTTGATTAAATGTGCAATGATTCCAGCCCTTGTGGTATCTATAACATGCTCATCATCGATTTGAAACATGTATGTTCCAGCACCCTGAGATTAGAAATCATGTTATTACAGCAAGTGAACAATACATTTTCACCAACTATCACCTTAGATCCTTCATCAAGCTAGTGAACAAAAATAGGACCACCAAAGATAAAAAAGGGATGCTTATGAAAAATTTAAAACACCGCTGAACTACTACTTTTTCTCCAGCGTCACACCCCAACTTCTGGTTGTTTCTTTTGTCCTACCTGAACTATCACCATTTATGTATTAAAAACATAAATGCAAACGATCGAGTTTATGAGATGCAATTTCCGTTGCCAATCATGACACTGAAAAACACATCTCAGAGAAGTGAGCAACAAAAACAATGCAAACAATTTAGAAGAAGCTTACATGGAAATTCTGGTTCAATAAGCAGAATAGAGAATCCTTCAACCTAATGGATGGATGCCCCTCAAACTGGTCAATCCATTTCCATTCAAGTCCTAGGTCCTTCGCAGCGGAGACTGATACAATAGCATCGCTGTTAAACAGTACAACATTTTCATGAGAAAAGAAGCTGAAAAATAAAACCATCAAAATTGTTCTTGAGCATACTTCGACCCAAGTTTAATACTGGGCTAGCAAGAGAGTGAGGTGGCACATCCAATTTGTCTTTGTACGACAGCAACCTCATAGCTGAATTCATAAAAATAATCAGTGAGAATTTATTTGAGCTGCAACTCATGAACAGAATTCAAAAAGGGCACCTCCCATGTATACCATTTATTATCTTGACGATACAACCTGAATAGATATAACTACTGAGTTTCTTCTTCTTTAGTACAGGTTGGAAGAGGGGAAGGGTCAGACATTGATACAACAAACGAAAGAGGGAAACTAGGTGGAATTTAATCAAAATCATGAGAATGCAATAAACACTCCTATCATCAATTTTTTTGAAAACTGGTAATTTGTATTCCTCAGCATTAAGGATATGCTGGAGACCTCCAAAAAGTTATCAACAAAGAGTCATAACTAAGGCTAATTATAAATAGCCTAAAAAAATCTACCAATTGAACTTCATCTTCTACATTTGCTAGTTTACACCAAAAATGAAAATTTACGATGCAATTCCATTTAATCTTTTGCAGAGTGTTAGACCTGCCCTCAAAGCACCTCCCTTTTCTTTTCTTCCATATTGTCCACCAAATACACGAAGGAATTGTTCTCCGCCATCTCTTCTGGGACTTGCTCTCCTGATCCAACAACTTAGAAGATGGCATAGTCCAGTTGTTACTTGTGAGGCTGAAAAAAAGTGATACCAAGAGACCTCAAGTTTCCTCTCTGTCAATGATTCGAGGATCTGTTCAAGAAAGCTCTTAGTCTCTGACATTTCAGGTAGACACATCCAAACTCTCTTTTCAAAGTGTTTTTCTATCTCTTCATCATTGAAAATTCTCTTAGCAATATAGTAGTTTTCCCTAAACCTCCCATGCCCACTACGGGAATGGTGCACAGAACAACTTCCTCTCTCATGTTCAACATCTTCTCCTTAATTTCAGCAACATCGCTATCTCTACCAACGGCATCCGAAGCAACCACTAAGGAATCTGTTTCTCGAATAGGTAATATTTTCTGAGACGGAACTATCAGTGATTGGAGACCAAGGTCTTTGGCTAACTGATTGATAGACGTCAATTCTTCATTGACGTTTTTTTATTTTTCGAGACATTTTGCTCTTAAAAGCAGTATGAGAAAAGAAACCCCTGACCTTTCTCATTGGGCTGTTTTAAATGTTCATCACTTGTGCTTTGAGAGATTCATATGTGAATTCATCAAACATATTTTCAGCATCTTAAGCAATTCTCTCAAGCATCTTGAGCCATTGTTCCACAGCCTGTGCATCGATGGATACATATTTTGTCAGCATTCTGAGATTTTTCTGGCAGTTCCTTAAACTTCTGGCCTCCTCAATGGTGAGAGAAAGCAGTTTCTCAAGCACAACCTGAACAGTAGCACCAATTACAGGGTCGGCCATTGTTGCGTTTGCTCCTTCTCAAATTTGTCTTCTTCCTTTGCACCAAAGTCTTCTTTTGCTAGTTGTTTATGGACCACTAAAATTCATATACAATAATTCAAAAAAAAATGAGTGGCATTCAGTACTCCAATGGCACAAATATCTCTCTAAGAAACAATCCTGTAACTTTTAAGGCGTTTTGTTTTAGTAAAGATTTTCGGAGAATTAAAAAAAGGATAAAATAATAAAACTCTTTGTCAAAATAAAGCCAATTTAACCAGGTTATGAACTTAGCCAAACTTCCTCCAAAAAAAAAAAAGAAGCATTTTAGGGCTCTTCTATGAGCAGTATTAAGGCTCTTGTTGTACCAATTGCTAAGTAAAATGCTCAATATCTCAAACTGCATTTTGTGTTTTGCACAAAATCCATACGATCTGGAGAGCTGAAATCACAAATGTGTTTGGGTGCGAAATTCAGATTGCAATGCCTTGGAATGATAGGGAAATAGTACAACTCCATAAATGGCAGAATTAGCTAGGGTTAGAAAATGAGAGAGAAAGAGAATTGAGAGAGGGAAAACAATACCAGTCCAAAACTGAATGTCCAACTGGAATGACACTGCAATTAGGGCATAACAGGTAAGAATTCCAGATTGGCAAGAGTATGAGGAAGAGCATGGATTCCGAAATCAATTATTGTTAGGGCACAGAATCCCAGCTGCAGAATACCATCAATTGGAAGCATCTCATTACTAAAAAATTACAAATTGTAGAATTTCTGCAATTTCAACTCATCATTCATCTCACAGTCATTTTGTAAGCATCCCTCACCTTCGACCCTAAAGTTCTGAGTTCGAGCAGAGCAAAAAATGGCAGCTTCATAGTCTTCTGATTCATCAAATTTGAGTTATTTGGTTTTTGGTTTCTCACGTAGATATGCTTTTTCTGTATTACAGACCAATTAGAGACCTCTAATCCTCAATTCAAATTCTTCTATTCCACCCCTTGCAAAGTATATTAGCTTGCCAATTGAATCAATTAAATTATTCATATAAAACCTTCATTTAACTAATACATAAGTTAATTTTAATCTGGCAACGTTTCAGTCTCTTTGAATGTTTGTATAAATCATTAAGCGCACAATTATCATCTAGATCTATATATATACTAGACATCGGAGCCTGTGCTAGCACGGGCCCAATATGTATCATTTTTTGTTTCAATTTATGTGACAAAGACAAAATTAAAGAGTTAATCAAACTTTAATATTAATTTAAAATAGTTTAAATTTTTAATTATTGTTAACTATGGTAAAATTTTTTTTTTATGTCTTTTAACATTCTAAATTGCTAATTATTGTTGTATGATTTGTAATATCTTTTACGCAATTTTGAAATAATAAAGGTTATTTCTTCTTTCTCAATTTATGTGGTACTAATAAAATTT